TGAAAAAAAATAAAATATAAATTCACTATTATATTTGTGTTTGATGGTTTAAATTTACCATCAATCTTTTTAATTAATGCAATTTTAATGTTGATGGTGCAAGCAGGTTAAGGGCCTAGTTTATCATTATTGTTGAAAAAATTTTTTGCAATTCAAAAATTACTTTTGATCCAATCTTAGCACTAAATAACAAAAAGAATAGCTTTTTAAGTTAAAAACTTTGTTTTGCAAGCAAAACCAAAAGTTACTCAAAAGATGCTATTGTGGTGAAAAAGTGTTTTTACGATAAAAGATTATTATATTATCTTATGTTTTTAATATTTTATTTTTTATATATTTTTTAAATATTTAAATTACTCACAGTACTTTTTTACAACAATTTTAAATGCATTTTTCTAATCACAGTAACAATACTAAATTAACCCTAAGTCATTGAATTTAGTAAAAGATAAAGACCATATTTGTTTAATGGCCTCATTTGGAGAGAGTTGAAGCTCTAGTTGAAGTAGAAAATGCAACATCTCAAAGAGCGCTGAAGAGACTAGATTTAAAAAGATTGGAAGAGCTAGAGACATGGTCATGTTCAGTCTTCTCTCTATTGATCCTCAAATTTAATTATTATTTATAAAATGCTAGTTTTTGATTGTTTCTATTGGTGGTTTAGAACACATTAGATAAAACGAGTTAATTATTGGTGAATAAATTTAATTTTTGTATTAAGTTTGTTTATATTTTTAATAATTATATTTGAAAAGAAATAATTATTATATGACAAATAATTATAACAATTTGAACTTAAATAGATAATTGTCCATATAAGTTATGATTGTACAAATGGTTATCACTATTTGAATACAAATTTCTATTTGTTCATTTATTATAAATAAATCTTTCAATATAATTATTTTCACCACTTATGTTTATAGAGTTTTGAGGCTTTATTGTATCATAGAAGCATAATCATTTTTAAGAAAGTATTTTTCATGCTTCAAAGCCAAATTTCATTTATACTATTTATATATTTTTATTTATTTTTCTAATAATTTAAAGGCAATTATGTGAAATTCATATTTCGCATAAAGAAGATACTAAGGAAAAAATTGTCAAAATTTATTTTTGAAACATGCAAGGAAAGTTTCAAATATTCATATGATTTATTGGTGAAATAAATACTAAAGATCAAATAAATTTCTTGCTTCTATTTTTTTAGTTTTTATATTCTATCAAAAGAATTTATTTTAAGAATTCATAAGAAACTTTGAGTCTTATTGAATTTTGTTTTTATATTAACAATATATTCTTTTAATTTTTTGATTCTAAATTAAATTATTTAATTTATAATTCATATTTTATGGTATGTCTTGTGTAGATTTTCTTAATCATGGCATTGAATGAAAATAAACCTAAAATAGGTATGGAGTACTTACTAGCTTTGGTTATGAATCTTTGGTTATCTTAATTAGACCATAGTTATCAAATCAAAATGATAAAATTCTTGAGAATTATTTTAAAGCATAAAAAATTTGTGGATTTTATAAATCTTTTCAAAAAAAAAAAAGGACGTGTTCCATATGGTCCATATTCCATGATTGCATTTTATTAACAAGAGAATAATGCATTATTCATATTATTTAATGTATATAATATTGATTCAACAAGAAATAAACATATTATTGAAGATAACTTCAATTCAATTGGAGAATTTACATAATTCTTTATAACTAGTTAAAATGTTTTTTATTTATTGGGTGAAAAGTTTCATGTATTTGATAATTTGGACAAAAACTTTATATAAAGTATTGTCTTGTTATACATAAAATTATGATTGTTCTTAACGACCTGAACCATGGTAGATACAACTTTAGTGTCTATGATAAAAAAAAAAAGGTTATAAATATCTATGAGTTCGTATAGAACTCTCAAATGAAGACTATAGATATAAGTTAACTAAAAGATTATAATTTTGAAGGTGATTGTATTTGACATCATACTTATTGATGTATATTCTTATATTGAGTTAGAATATAAAAGTTTTGAAACTTTTATGAAAAGAAAATATTAAGATATAGAATATTTATCAGTTATCTTTCATAAGGGTGGATTTGGAGACCTTCTACTTAAACAAAAACAATCACCAAATAGTGAAAAGATAAATAAAATGGTAACTTGATTAAGCATATATGATATCTTAATATTTAATGGGATATTTTTTAATAAAAGAATACATATTTGCACATAATGGGGTGATGAGAATAAGAAAAATAAAACATTACCACTACAGTGCAATAAGATTTTAGTATAATTTATTAGCAAATTATACAAGATAATAAGTTTAATACAACTTATTAAAGTAAGATCATAAAAAGGTCTTTAAATATCTTAAAAAGATTAAAATTGCTTGATTTATTCATTTAGTTTATCCAATTGTACAAGAAGTGTAATTGTATTAAAGACTTATAAAGGTATGAAAATAGAATAGTTAAAATTTATGACTATATACTTGTGGCCACAACTAATACCAACTATTTTTTAAAATGATAAGAATAAGAAAACAATGTTTAAAACATATAAATGATATACAAAATGAAAAAGTTTGGACATGTTAGCATATGAAGTGATTACATTAGAGATCAATTTCAAGTGGGAGTAATTAGCATAAAAGAAAATTAAATTCTAAGATATTTGGTTAATAGTACTACAAGTAGAGTGAGTTTAAACCATTACAAAATGGAAACCCAACTTTGAATTAGTAAACTTTAATTACAAAATTTAATGGGTAAAAATAAGTTATTATTATGTGTTTATTATAACACTAGTAAAACTCATTCAAATTTTAAAAATTAGTGTGGTTCATCGCGTGAAGAAGGTGAGTTTTTTATGTTCTTAATGAAGCTTATTATTTAAATATTTGAAGCAATAAGACATTATAAAAACTCTATCTATATAAACATAGATGTGGTATCGCTTCAACAAGAAAAATTAAGATCTCTCTTGTAAATAATGTTTATGAATAGAATAAGTATATGACCATGATAATACTAAAACAGTTATAAACTTCTAACAGAATAATAAATATTATATGTATTGTATCTTCAATTCTAATACTAGGAGTTGAAGTTTAATTTGATAATACCATCAATTTCGTCAGTATTTTAAGGTGTATATTCTAATTGAAAGTTTAAATTAAGAGATATCTTTTTATATTTATAATATTTATTTGTGTGAAACGTTAAAAATTAAACACCAACATTCCAAACTAGTAAAGAATTATTAATAGTTTAGAATATAGTGCATCCCACGTTGAATAGAAAGAATTAATTATTGTTGAATAGATTTAATTTTTGTATTAATTTTATTAATATCCTGAATAATTATGTTTAAACAGAAACTATTATTATATAACAAACAGTTATAATCATTTAAATATAAATTTATAATTGTTCATATAAATCATGATTATACAAATAGTGATAATCATTTGAATAAAAATTTATATTTGTTCATTTATTATAAATAAATATTTTCATTACTTTTATTTAGAGACTTTTGAGATTTTATTGTATTTTAAAAAAAATAATTATTTTTTAAAAAATATTTTTTGCATCTCAAAACCAAAATTTATTTTTCTTATATATTTTTTCTAACAATTTATTAATTATTGTAAGTGAATTGTAGGTAGGGTCAGACAAGCTTCTCCTGCCTAAGACATAGGATTTTGAGTTTGAAACGAAATTGATGCGTTACTTCTAATCATAGGGAGGAAAAGCGACATTAAGATTAGAGTTGTCATTACTCATTATTACTATTATTAATGCTCATAATTTCTCTAACGAGAAAAAGAAATTTGCATCAAACTCATAAGATATCTTGCAAAAATAAATATTTGCAAAAATTTCAATTCTTGATAATAGTACTACTATGGAACAAAATAAAGCATTTCATTTAAATGAAAGAATACTTCATTAAAAATTTTAATTATTTTTAAAATTTTATTATATGAAAGATAAAAATACAAATTTCAAATTATAAATAAGTATAATAAAATAAATATAGTTATTTTTTTTCCAAAAATACCAAAAATGTCATTCATTTTTTTCATTTAAAAAATAATTTTATTCTCTCCAATTTTTTTAAATAAAGAATTTATTTAAAATGCAGTTTATATAATTTGTTACATTGTTAGTACTTTTAAAACGAATTTAATTAATTAATTAATTATTTTAGTTATTGTTATTATCTTTATTTGTTATTAAGTAAAATACATTGTTAACTACTTCTTTATCTGTCAGAATATTTGTTATTAAACATTTTAAAGGGAATTAGATTATTTTTTAAATGAAAAAATAAATGAAATTATTTGTATTTTAGAAAGAATCTTATTATTTTTATTTTTATTATCCCTGTTTAAAATTTAAAATAAAATATTTTTATTGTAATAAAAATTAAAAAATTAGCTAATGTTTAATAAAATATTTTTTAAATAAATAAAATATTTTATTTTCATTAATAGGTCACTTAAATTACGTAAAAAAATAATAGAATGATAAAATTATATATAAAAAAGTAAAATGATAAATATGAATTGCCAATCTAATATAATAGAGCCTTATTCCTAAAAATAATGTTTTTTGTTAATTAAAAAAAGTTAATATTATAAATAGCCTTTAAAATATAATAAAATATTTAATTTAGTATCAAAATTTAAAAATTTTAATATAATACTTGAACTATTAATTTTATTAATTAATTTGATATTTTTAATGTTATTCGTACATCATTTGTCATGATTGAATTTAATTATAATTAAAGTAAGTATTATATTAATTAATATATTTATAATTAAAATTATAAATTATAAATTTTTAAAATTTAAATATTATATTAAATATTTTTTTATAATTAAAAAATCATTTATCACATTACTTCTAAAAAATAAAAATTAGTGTTAATAAATTATTCATGTAATGCCCAATTTTAAAAATAAATCTCATTCGCAAAAAGTAAAAATCCCTCGAGTTCCAACAGAAACTGACCAAGGATCCTCACTATAAAATCCACTTAGAACAACACACGTATTCCGCTAAAACCATCGATCCCGTAAGGTTTCCCTCCTTTCCTCTTTGTTGCTCCTAAACCCTTGAAAAGCAATGGACCCACTTTCCGCCCTCCGCGACTTCACAATCCGGGGCGAGCTCGACAAAATCATCCGAGTCAACGACGAGTTCCGCTTTGGCACCGACTATTCCTTCCCATGTTCCGTCGAAACCGCCTATCGTTCGAAACCAGGCAACCTCTACACTCTCGAAACCTTGGTTTTTTACATCCAAAACCACCATCTTAAGCACACGGATTACATGCACAACTCTCTCTCACTCCGCATCCCCGCCGTCACTTTCACCGACCGTAAGCCCCTCCTCGATTACCTTACCGGAAAAGTCTCCAACTCCGATTCCATTGTTTGGAACCCACCGAAGTTCCCTGACGAGTTTCGACCCGCCCCGTCTGGGTTCGACCCGGATAGCAGTAAACCTAAAGGTAATACCAATGATGTTGTTTTGGATGAAATCGGAGATACTCATTTTGATATTAAAGATAAAGAGATTGAATATGCGGATTATATGGGAATAATTCAATCAATTGAGAGGCCTTTGAAGGATAGAGAAGGGATTCTGGAATGTAAAAATAGGGATTTTTATAGTGTTCTTGTTGCATCTACGAAAAGGGAAGAAGAAAAGCAGAGACTTGAGTCTCAGCAGAGGAAAGATGGGTTAGTTGCTAAGAGTAGATTAATGGGGGCAGAAGAGAGGGGATTGGGGTTAAGTTATGGGGAAGAAACTATGGGATATGATTCAAAGCCGAAAATGCATTTAAAAGGGAGCAAACTTGGGGAAGGAGTGCCTATTATTTTAGTGCCTAGTGCATTTCAGACTTTGATTACTATTTATAATGTGAAGGAGTTTTTGGAAGATGGTGTTTTTGTGCCTACTGATGTAAAGGTGAAGCAGATGAAAGGGGCGAGGCCGGAGTGTGTTACTGTGCAGAAGAAGTTTAGTAGGGACAGAGATAGGGTAGTAACAGCGTATGAAGTGAGGGATAAGCCCTCTGCTTTGAAGCCGGAAGATTGGGATCGTGTGGTGGCAGTATTTGTGTTGGGGAAAGAGTGGCAGTTCAAGGATTGGCCTTTCAAGGATCATGTGGAGATTTTTAATAAGAGTAAGTGAGGTTTTTAGGCTTTAGCTTGATTGTTATTTGTATTTTTTTTTTTTTCTCTTAGTGCTGTTCTTTTTAGTATGATGTAGAACTCGAATGTTATGCTGAGAATTTTTTCTAATGTTTATCAGGCATTAAATTATGTACATGATGAATTTTTGTGTAGTTATTGAGCTAGAATTCAATTTCTGGGGAGGGAGTTTTAATTGAGTGTTTAATTCTTGATACTTTTAACATGTACGCCTTACTTGTCAGGTTTTTAGTTTTTTTTTTTTTTTGGTGGTGAAAATGATAATTTATCTAATTTGTTTGTGTGCTCTTCCTAAGAATAAATACTTATTCTCGAATTTTATGCAGTTATTGGATTTTTTATGCGATTTGAGGATGACAGTGTAGAGTCTGCGAAGATTGTGAAGCAATGGAATGTGAAGATTATTTCGGTAAGAAAATTTTTCCTCCTCAGCTGCTGTACTATTTTCATGTTAGTTTAGTGCAACTTTTGGTGGAACCTGGTATTCTTCCTCTTCCTTATCTCCTTCATTTCTCTGCTTCCGTTTTCCTCAATGTGCCCCAACTGTGCAGATTAGCAAGAACAAGAGACACCAAGATAGGGCTGCAGCTCTGGAGGTCTGGGACAGACTTGAAGAATTTGTGCGGGGAAGATCACATTCGTAAACTGTGCAGCTTTTAGAAAATATTTCTATGTATGTGTTTGATGTTCATCAGCTATGACCTTCTTTGATGTAGCTTTGAATTTTGTTGAAGTATTTAAGAATATTGATCACCTTGTTATGACAATTGGCGATCTTATTATATTTTTCTTATCAGGGGTGCATTGCCAATTAAGTTCAGTGTAAGGCGGTGGCTTTAACATTATAATTTGTTTTTAATTGATGACGTGTACAGATAGAACAGGATGTCCCTTGACGTTTTTGTTTATGATAAATATAAATCGTGGAACAAAAGTTAGAGTGAAATAGACTTTGTAGATTCCATTATTTGGGGTAGATATCTGGGGACAAAATAGCTGGATATATTAGGGTGGAGTTGTTTGCTGGTCTATCTAGGTTCAATTTTTTAGGGTAAAACATCTATAGATGGATTGTTTATTGTACATGTGTATCATGAACAAGCTACAGATAGTTCGACTTACCTTTGGATTTAACTTTTTTCAAGCTTTGTTAGTTTACTAAGGTGTTTGCAGGGCAGGTGTTTTGCAACTCAAGGGAATGTGTCTAGATCCTTTTGTCATCTATAACTAGATCTCCTTGTGGCAGATGTTGTTAGCTTAAATATATTGTGTTGTTTTCTGTCTAGCTCTTTTATCTGCATTGGTGGAGAGGTGATTTCAGATATTCTGACATAACTACACCGTGTATAAAGGTTGTCCTACTATTATCTCTCATCTGATCTGGTTACTTGAAGAAAAAGTTTTGGCCATACTGATTTCTTTTGGTTTCCATCTCTCCCTTGATTTGGTTTTTAGCCTTCTAATTTCAGCATCCGAACACTAATTCCTAAGAGCTTGTGAAAGCACTTTACAGCTTAATTGAACTAATTTTCTCTTTGGAACCGGAATTATATCAAGATGGAATCACTATGATGATATCTAAGACCTAGGTTGTGTTAATAAACAACATAAAAGATGGTCACTCTTGGCGGATGGTTTTTGTTTTATTGACTGCCAATGCACACCGATGGTCTTTCATGGTTGTGACCTTTTGAAATTTCTGATAGAATGAGTCCTCTGTTTGGAATACTAACATTAGCAGCGCAAGGTGGTTCTCAAGCATTCTTATTAGGCTTTCACTTGAGGTAATGGTATAACGGTATTAGGAAATTAACAATATTAATTTATCAATTCTGCTACTTTGTTACCTTTAGCTGACCTCAAAACATGCCTGAATTGCAATATTGTTTTCTTGAGTGTATAGACTATAGACTTCTACATGATTTGAGCTTCAACTCTAATTCACTTCATGTCAGTAATGTCTTCTTGCTGTGATCTATGTTTGGCTTTCTGTCACATTGAAATATACATTTATGAATCACCCATCTGATATATATATACATACATATATATATATGTATATATATTTCTTTTTTTTTTTTTTAATGAAAAAAACCGTAGCGTTGAGAATAGGGGAAGAGGATATAGATATTGAGATTTGAATCATGCTGGATGTTACCTCTTATGGGAAGATTATAGGGAGGTTAATTATAAACAATGATCTTTATTGAGAAAGGAAGAGAAGCTGTAACTCTCATCAGCAAAATCAGCCATACAAAACCATATCGGCCCAGGAAAAGATGAAAACATAAATGTTACATGTATCCATCCTCAATCGAAGGGAAACTAAGCACAAATGTTGCATGTATCTATCCTCAACCGAAGGGAAACTAAGTAACAAACGAAGAATACAATATTGGTTAAAATGATGGTGTCATGATAGGTAGGTCAAACTACAGAAGATTCAGTATGATGAGAAGATTGAACTATATGATGTGGCGAACAAAAGTAAGATGAGTAAAGAGAGTAGTGGCAATTTGGTGGTGCTTCCATCCGATGAGCCATCTTCCTGTGTGGATGGTACAGTTTTAGATCCACCACCTGCACCCATTTTTAACATTTACTCGGATCGATAAGCAAAGTTGAGGAACAAATTTGGGCAAATATATCTCATCGTTTTCATGCTATTTGAGATTGTTTTAACTTTTATGTGAAAATTTCAGTGCATAGTAAATGCCCAAACGTGGCGGTTATCTGGAGTTGACAGAAATAGGCAACAGGAAAACTATTCTGTACCTGTAGGAATTATGCTTCCTGATTCAGGTGATCCAACTGGAGAGTCTGCCGGCTCTGGAGAAGCAGCTGATAACAAGCGGGCGTGGTGTTAGTAGAATACCAGACAAAATTTTGCGTAAATTTCAATCATCCCTCAATTACTCGACTGATTAAAGTTTTGCTGACATTTACGCAAGATTGAGATTAAGAAGAAATATACATGTGATTGAATATTTACCATTACAGCTGCTAATGGGTGGAGTCTGAACATTGCATGAGCCAGGTAAGGCCAAAGCTTGAGTCTGGTTGATGGTGATCCCCAGTGATGAACCACCACCATTAAGGACCTCACACAAGCATTGTGGCGAGGAACGCACAACATTAGCAAGCTGTGTGCAGCATTGTTGAGAAGGGGCTGATGAATTCGCTGTAATGTAATTGAGGCAGGGCGACAGGCTGATCAATACACTTGTGCAACCTGACTGAGCTGTAGCTCCTGCAAAAAGCATGGCTACTAGGACCGAAACAAGATATGTTGCCATCTTCCTGTTTACCATTATTCCTCTTGGTATGGTAATTGCTGAGAATTCCTGCAGATTGTGCTGATTTCCTGCAACTTTCCAATGTGGCTGGTTTTGAGGCAGAATGGTGAGGTTTTTATAGGGAAACAATGCAATTATGGCAGTTGTGGGTGACCAAATTTCCTACTCTATAACGGGATCAATAGTCAAGTACAGGTTTATATATTTGAAGTGTTCAATGATGGAGGCTTTAAGCTTATACAATTATATATTGTTTTGTTTCCGAAGGAGAACTTTGTGGGTGACCAACCTATATCAGCTAATGAATCTTTGATGCAGGGTACATGGATTTTTAAAACGTTCAAAGCTGAACACTCTTGGTAAGTGGTAACCTCAACCTTGAAGAAAGCAATAGCCGACTCATTCTACAGAATTTAGCTTGGTAAAGCTCATTTTGTTGGATAGTGAGGAGACGAGGAAAGCGAAACCAATTACGTACTATTATTTTTATCCCCATGATTGAATTAGGTTACTGAATTTGAAATTGTTGGGGCTTTTAAGTTTGACATTTGTCCTTTTTTTTTTGTCTTTTTGGTTGGTGGCCTTTCGGCTGTGAGGTGTCATGAACTTTGAATTGTGAGGTATTTGAGTTGCTGGATTTTGATCTTAATTGAGGTGTGAAGGTTTGTGTATTTAAATTGTCGGCTTTTGGTATTAATTGAGGTGTGAAGTTTTGGATGTCGAGATACTTGGATGGTAAAGTTTTGAGTTGGAAGGTAATTGGGTGTATTTTTTTATAAGTTTTGAGCATTTTATATTTATTATTTATAATAAAATAAATTGAAATTTAAAAAATATAATAATAATGATAAATATAAATATGAAAGACATAATAACAAAAAATAAAAATTTACTTCTATTATTTTTCTTTTTTTAATTTAAAATATTTTTACAAAAAAAAATTTATAATCTAAAATAAATTAAAAATTATATATTTAATCCAATAATTAATAAAAAATATGACACTCGACATGATATAAAAAATTAATAAAAAATAATCGTAATATATGAATTATTTTATACATATTAATTTTAATATTTTATAATATTTTAATTTAATTAATTTGTTTATTATTTTTATATTAAAATAATCATAAATATATTCAAAATAATGAAAATTTTTCATAAAAAAATTGTCCACCCCATTGTGAAAGGGCTAATTCTAGTTATCAGTTAAAATTTCCCCCTTCATTAATTCTTTCACAAAATTGGACAGATTTGGAGAAATAAAATTAACTAAAATTTATTCAAAAAACAAGAATCCAAATTCAATCTTCATTGTAAAATCGTTTTCATTTATCTCTTTAACTTAACAACAAGAAAAAATTCAATTTCACTCTTCAAATAATTTGTCACTTTTTTTTTACTCTTCCGTTCTCTCTTATCAATCAAAAGATACTATAAAAATGTGTAATAATTATTGGTTTGATGTATATTCAATTCCAATAAGAGTTGGATTCGAAATCCTTCTCGCCTATGATTGTGAAATTGCTAATTGTTTTAAGGTTGTTCATGAGTATCGAGGAGAATTTGAAATCATCTTGGGTTCGATATTTCCCCTCGTAATTTAATGGTAAAGAGGGGGAATTTGGGATAGTAGCTGTTGCTGATGCCTTAATGGCTTTGGCAGCTAGTGGTAGTTGTCATCTTGCCATTTTCAGTTCTTTCCTCTTGTTATGCTAGATCGTCGGGTCAAGGGTTAATCATTATGTTCGATAAGTTATTACACACTGGATCACCATATCACTCGATCATGGTGGTTAGAAGTGTCAAATTAGTTGAGCAACCTATGACACGGTACGATATGGGCTTTGTTTGGTACAACCTATTGTTATAATCGTGAACCCTGTCAAATATGACTCATATACTTATGTCATGTTTGGCTAGAGATTTTGGATCTATTGGATTAGCATAACACGAGATATCAAGGTCTAGTGGCAACATGTGGTACATGGGTTAGCACGATAAAATCCGCTATAAATGTTATAAATGAGTTTAATCTTTTAGTTCTTAATTAAATTTTGTGTTACTTTTATTATATGATAGACATTCTTTTACTCTTTTAGTAATTATGTTAGCAGTTTATAGAAATTAAATTGTAGCATTAAATCTGCCTATAAAATATTTAAACTAGTAGTAGATAAAGTTACAATTTTTTCATTTTGATTTATCATTTAAAAAAAAAAGTATGAAGTGTATATTACTTAAAAATTAATGTTATAATGTATAAATTTGTTGATCTATCGTTAGATATAAACTTTAAGAGTCACCAACAATATTTTTTGTTTAGGTGTGATTAACTACTTGATAGAATTTGTCAGTTCTCAAATTAATTTAAGTATCTTTAAATAGTAAATTTAGTCTACGAACTCAGATTTTATGTTTGGAATGCAGTTACGCATGAGAAAGATTATATCACCATCACAGCACCTATCAAAGGATGATACCAGTTTGATTTCAAATTATCCAAGCCTTAACCGTATTTATGATTTATCAAAATATTTAATATTGAAAATTGATCTTAAAATTATACCAATAGTTTGGTAGTAATTTAAGATAATTATCTCACCTTTTGAGTATTCATAGAAAGTAGTATTCCACTCTAAAGAGGCTTCGTCATCAGATTCTTTTAATTTTGCTTTTAGAAATAAATATCTATAAACTGGTTTTATAGTCAGAAATGTCCTCTAATCTGTTGATAAGACTTTCGTTGAAAATTATTTTTCAATCTGTTGATAGGATTTTAAAAAAATATTTTTTAAGAAAATTCATTAAGTCCTCAAATAGTTTGGTAAAACTTAATTCAAGATTAAATCTTCCAATAATTTTGTAGGATTGAAAAACATATTTTTGAAAACTCTTTTTCAAATTTGAAAGAAAAAAAATTAAAATAAACAAAAATTATCATGAAAAATTATCATGCAATTATACGATATATTTAATAAATCACATAATAAGTATAAAAACATGCAATTATATATTTTAAAAAATCATGCAAATATATTAAACTCATGCTCAAATAAATATAATTAATTAATTAATTAATTAAAAAATCATGCAAAAATAAACTATATTTCCTTTTCCTTTTCTTACCAAATTCAAACAACTATTTAAAATATTAAATATTAAATATAAAATATAAATATAATATATAAAAAACAAACAAACATATAAATAAATAAATAAATAAATAAAATCAAATTAGAAAATAAAAAAAAAAAGAGAAAATGACAAACTATGAAATTGGCGGGTTTGAAGTTAGGTGAACATGCAGATCCCTTATGGGTCAATTGGACCATAGCTTAGCTAAAAACGACTATGTTTTACTTCCTTATAAAAGCAATCAATTTCTATTTTCAAACCTGGTCAGTTCCTTCTTTCTCTAAATAAAATTTCCTTTGTCCCCTTTCTAGGAATAGCCACTAAAAAACTCATTTTCCCTAGTTTTAGCCAAAAACCTAAAACTTGGTGCTGAAAAATTCAAACCAAACCCAAAAAACAACCTCTGCCTTTTCCTTTCAGGCCGTCGTGACTCCATCACGAAATTCATAGGTTCATCGGAATCTTCATATCAACCTAGAAAATTCCAATTTTTCAAAAAGCCCAAAAAATTCATAAAAGTATTCCTAAAAAAAAATTTAGATTATAAACTCAAACCAACAAACCACAATCAAAACACTAATTCCCTAATTTATGACTAACCTAGAGCTTGAACTTAAAAAAAGAAAAACCAAACTTCTAGAAAAACTCCCTAAGCCTAGAAATCTAAAATTTTTAGAAAATTCACAAAAAGTCCAAGAAAAATTCAAGAAAAAATCCTAGAAAACCTCATAGAACTTTGAAGATTAGAACCCTAAAAACCCAAAACCATAATTTGAAACTTAATCCCAAAATTCTTAAATTGTGTTCCCAAGAACTAGGAACCAACCCAAAACAATAAAAATTCTATTCGAAAAATCTCCCCCATTTGTGTGTGTGCTTCTATGCATGATTTATAGGTTCTCTTTCAAACATTTTAAGGATTTTGACAAAGATCAAATCTATCATTGAACATCCAGAAGATGGCTTAAATCTTGGGATCATGGTCAATGGTTTTGTAAACAACCATGATTTCTGAATTGATTTTCCAAAAAATTTTTATTTCATTTCCTTTTTTTTTACTTTAAAAAAATACTAATAATAAATAAATTAATTAATTAAATAAAAAATTGAATCAAATTAAAATTAAAATGAAGATTTTTTCTATTGGGCCCAAAGCTTCCTAATCAGGCCCAATTTACAATCAAAATCTTGTTTTTGATCTTGAAGAAACTATCAAACAAAATGAAATATCTACAGTTGCCCCTATTTGCATAGTTTTTGTGAAACAGGAATTACACAAAGATATATATATACCTATTATGTTTGGGCTCGAATTAATAAAAAAAATTCCTCTAAATAGAGGTATGCGACTTTCGAAAAAAGAAAAATTCAAATAACCCCTCTAAACAAAGGCTAAACAACTTTAAAAACTTTAAATAATAAATGTCAAAAGACATCAACATTTTTAGATTGAAATCCAAAGATTTACAATTTGGAAATTTAAGGGTCACAAATTGCAAAGATTCACCAGGTTCCATAACAAAAACTAAAAAATTCCAATGTTCCAAGATTTACAAAAAAAAAAAATCATAATGATTTCAAAATTTACAAAGATTCAAGATTCACAAAAATTTTCAAATTTGCAAGAATTCTAAGTTTCACAAGATTCCAAGAGTTTGTAAATGACTCAAGATTCTCAAAGGTTCCATGTTCATAAAAATTCTAGATCGTAAGATTCATAGTTTTGCTAAAGTTTTAGATTCGCAAAAATTCCAAGTATCATAGGATTCTAAGTTTCGCAGAGGTTTCAGTTTCGTAAAGACTTTTAGCTTCACAAGAATGTTTAGATTCGTAAGAATGAACTATTCGTAAGAATTTAGATTTGCAAAAATTTTAAGTTCGCAAGAATTCAAATATTCACAAGAATTTGTAAGAGTTTCTGATTCACAAGAATTGGGATATTCACAAAAATTTGTAAGAGTTTCAGATCACATGAAATTCAAGTTCGCAAGAACTTCAAAGATTCGCAAGAATGGATGATTTGTAAGAGATTCAGGTTTGTAAGAAATTTAGATTCTTAAGAATTTCAAAGATTTGCAAGAGTTTCAGTTTTGCAAGAATTTTCATTATTGTAAAGATATGCAAACTATAATTTACAGAAAGATTTAAAGATTTGCATTGAAAAGGTAAAAAAAATTCATGGATTCACATCAAAGATTTCAAGTTTTACCTATAAAATTCAAAGATTTTCATTTGAAAATTTAGAGATTCACACCTAAAAGTTATAAATTTTCATTCAAAAAATTTAGAGATTTACATAAAAAATTTCAAAAATTCACATGAAAAAACTTTAATATTTCACAACTAAAATTTCAAAGATTCTTATTCGAAAAATTTCAAGGTTTCACATCCAATTTTTCAAAGATTCACATTCAAAAAATTATAAAGATTTGCATCCAAAGTTTTAAAGGTTATTTTTCAAAAACTTTATGGTTTTACATCCAAAATTTTAAAATTTCTCATTGGAAAAAAATTAGGGTTTTGCATCCAAATTTTTAAAAATTCTCATTCAAAAAGCTTCTTTAAACAAAGGCTTAACTTTAAAAGTTTGAAAAGTTTTCCTTAT